AGATTACGAACTCATATAGCCTGCCAGGAAGAGTGTACTTAATTTCGGAGGAATGTGCGGAATTAATGGCCTTTTCAGAATGTTAATTAAGTAAGCAGTATTACACTACGAACTGGGCTACCAGAAGCGCTTACCTGGGGTCAGCCTCGGTAAAGAACGATCCAATTACTAATTTGCTACGCGGATTATCTGTGAGCTCAGATGGATTTCAAAGCAAATCGACTTCGGGGGTGGTCGAGTAGAAGTATCAGGATATCGGGTTCCGGACTCGGTTCCAGACCAGTCAGTTCGAGTTCCCGGCCGTGCCGGCCCTCGACTTTGTATAGACGGAACGTTAAATAATTTGTGCTACAAGAATAGACGCTTGTACCTGTAGATGAGCATAGAGTCCCTGGGGACGTTACTTGCCAGATTTTTTTCTGTGTCCAGCTGCTACGAAGCAACGGCCCTAAAACTTCGTGGATTTGATAGATATTTGGTGAGATAAAGTCGTTGCGACTCTTCCGTATCAGGAAGAATAGGTTCGCTGGACACAGAAAAAAATCCGGCAAGTAGATGTATATGTAACTACATGTACATACATGCTTAATGGACCTAATAATAACATACATGTAGTTCTCCATCTCCTGTCGATGCCATGTGTAACCAGTACTTGTATTCCCACGGTTGAAAGATTGGGAAATAACAAAAGCAAATCCAGAAACTGCATACATCTAGGGTCTGCGATGTCACCTAAAACGGCGAGGCGCAATGAAGTCAGATCTGATCTCCGAGAATCTGGCCAGATGATATCACAAGCCCAGCCACACCGCCATAGGGCAGAATCAATCTCAGTATTATCAAGCTACAAATATATATATACGGGGGTTCGCATATGGTAGTCCGCACGGGCCAGGCGGACAAAGGTTCGACCGGACTTGGTGACATGATATGATTCCCTCACTAGACGGAAGGTTAAAATGCACCGAGATGTATCCGAATCTACCTTGCCTCGGCTCCGATAACTGTCCAGGTATTATTACTCAGGCTGGATTTGCCCAATCATCCGTGATTTTAGGTTAAATGTGGGGAAAGAGGAGGAGGGGGCTGTGGTGAAGATATAACAGGCGATAACTTGGGTTAGGTGGGAGTCTCTACCCCATGGCCAAGTCCCCGATATATTGGGCGAGCGATGGAGGGATGGCTGGCCGTTGTGCTTGTTACTATAAAAAGAATCCCATCACGATTCTAACATTCGTCTAGGGAAGGACCTAAAACGGGTACCTACGTCGTTATGCACCAGCTTGCAACCACAGCGTGGAGCAGAATTCGTGGTCAAGCGTTTTCGGCGGACAGCCGGAGCTAATGGAGTGTGAAGCTCTCGGGACGGGAGTGCCGAACGTGCAATTCCTAGCTACATACTCTACACGACGATTCCTACTGGTAGAAGGGGCATCCAGTCGATAAAGTGCACATATCAATTGGTGAGAATAGCACTTGGACGTTGGGGAATTCTGGTGGCTTACTGTGAGGCTTGAGGCTTACAGCGATAGGAATGATCTATTGTATGGCGAAATATCTGTGCACGACGCCACGCCATACAAATTTAACCCCCATGTTTTCCCATTGATCATTCATATCGCTGTATGTAGCTAATCACTTGGACCCGTCCGGAGTTGCGTTGCTGTAGCTATGAATCAACACAGTCTGGGCATGAAACCAGAGCCACTAGTCGAACGCGTTCTTCGGCTAGCTAGCGTCATCGCGGATACATATGATGTAGCGTTGCTGTACCTACATGGTAGTGCTGTAGGAAGAAAGACCTTTAAAATCACATCGGTCCGAAAATATAATTATCGTCACCTGCATATTCTGCCTTCAAATGCATACAGGTATTCACATTAGGCATAACCTTGTTGAAGTTGTCTCATTCATCCAAGACTGCCTTGATCTGGATTAGTGATCTAACAATTAAGGAATCAAACAGCTAGCCCCACGATATTTTTGTCTCCACAAGATGCAGAGCAAGTTAATCGAGGCAGAACAGTAGGCTATTTCCGTTCGCTTGACCGTATCTGTGGGGGAGTTGGGAGGACGTTGGTACCCGCTGGGGTAGCTAAATAGGTACATTATGGTTCGTCCTACTGCGAACATCGTTTTCGGTGGACAATCTGAAACGTCCAACCCCGTACAATCTGAACCAATCGATAGAAGAATTCACTCATGCGGTTCAGCAATGCAGCGAAGAAGGAAGGAAGGAATAAAGAAGGATTCGCAAGAACGGACCAGTCCGGGGGTATCGTCGGTTATTACACAAGGTCTTCCTGTGCCATTTCCCATCTCATCTAACAGGGTAGTTTGGTCTATGATGGGCCATGGGGGGTGTGTATGTAGTCCCGTTTGCGCCGCAACCATGCAGGTGAAAAAGATATTTTCGTCGTGGCGGAGGGTTGAGGACCGGCAAGCTAAACTGACTAAGTATCCTTGCACTACCTTTATCTTTGCGGAAGTAGAGGGGAAAGACGTTATTCGAAAAGAGGAAGGAACCTTTTGAAACACTGTTGCTTTCGTATCATATCGCTGCGATTAAGAGTGGGAAACACGATAGACTATAATTTACTCGGTAAGGTGCAACAAAGCTGATCACTGCTAATTAATCAACTTGCAAGTGTTTCTTTGAAACTGTGTACCCGTCGATACTTGACCCCTCTTTGCGCTGCCACAAAGATCATGACATTCTAAATATGAGAATATCTATATCTCCCTACATGAAAACTAAAACACTAATCAAGCTTGATTGTAAAGTATCTATAAGTATATACTCGATATTCAGTACTAGAGACCGGTACTGTGCTATCATGCGAGAACCCTCTCTCTCACTGTAGACTTTATTAGGTATGTCATCACCATCGTTTGATATAAACAAAGTAGTACTATACTATATAAACGTATTCCAGGATATATTTGAAATCCAGGTTCTATAAGACCTGGAGTTACCAATGAGCTAAATAAGGTTGCCCCGATCTATGGAGAGTGCTTACCTCAAGCCTTTCTCACTCACTCTCAAACACTATCCACCCCTTAAACTAATCCTGTTGTGTACTCCCATAGCCCATCATTGCATGCAAACATGCATATGACGTTCTGCATGTTATTGTACAGAGCACATGTAGTCTATTTATGCCGGCCAAATGCGGGAGGCAGAACCAAGTGGATGCAGGCCTGGGCAGCTGCGATGGGTGTGGTGGGGGAGGAGGGGTGCAGATCAAACTCATTGAGATTCTCGCTAGAACTACCATACATACCAAGCTCTTTGGATCCTGTGCACACATCCCAGTCATCATTCCATTTGTGCCATGTGGGTACGATGCACCCTGCCGGGGGTTCCGCGATCTCGAATGTATCTATTTTTTGAAAATGTTAGGATGAATATTGCTTCGCCGAGAGGCACAAGTAGTGGTACCAGGGTTCGATGGTGGAGTGTGCGAACAGAATGCGATTCCCAAGTCTGACCCAGATCAGGAAAAATGCGGTAGATATTGCCATGCACAGCTGTGTTTAATCGATATCGATAAAGACCATGGCTTGCCGGTCTGCCACTAACCGAACAGAGGGCCTTCGGTGTGGATTGGGCCGCTTCAACACCGGTCCGGTCGTGCTGATACTAGTACTAGATATCCCGAAATCCCCACTCGCTTCTGGCGTAGAATGGTCTGTGCCGCTGGGTTTCTATATCTTGGTTCCAGTCGCCGTGGGGCTTGGGTCTCAACTGCTATTACTACCCCACACTAGGAAAGACCGATATTTGGTTAGCATGAACGGGCTTCGCCATGTGGAAATCTCATGACACCCTCAAAGATTCCTTGAGTATTTAAGATTTAAAATATAACAGAATGGGATTAGGCCGCATGGAGAAGTTCCATACGCCCCATGAGGAATTCGAATAATCACAGCTGAGTATATGATTGGATCCAGCTGTGACAGAAAATATTTGGGGTATTAGTCAACGATTCTCCACGATCATGAACTTTCTTCAGAGATTTAATTAAAGATAATATTTTCCGAACCATAGCCTCACCACATAGATGCAGATGCACACAAAGTATACATAGATATTTTCGAAACAAAAAAGAAGAATTAAACGAAAAAAAAAGAGAGCAATACTCAAAATTAAAGCCTGAAGGCTTCTTATTGTGGAAACGCCATTAGTTAACGCCCCGACTATGCTCCAAAGTATACTACTAGATGGGTGAGATAAAGCTTCATTTGTCACGAATGTGCTGAGAATGATATGATTTAGTAAGTACATGTACTTACCATCTAGGCAGATACTTAGGCATATATGCATGTACTCTTCAGGCACCGACCAGAAAGCTCCTTGAGGGCCCACAAAAGTGGTGAAGTTAGTCAATACACCAATAAAAACGGCATAGCGTGGCGTCAGCCTTATACTCTAGGTTCCTCTTGGGCGTGCAGTTTCTGAAAAGAAACGGAGGGAGTAATATGGTTGATCAATCTGGGATGGAGTGACCGGAAGCTAATACTGTTGTGTGGTTGTGCTGTGGTACCTAGTGCACCAGAACTTGACCCAGTCATCAAGACATGGGGGTAAATGCTTACTGTTGGGGTCGGCAGTACACTTGACCTTGGACCTGCTGTGGGCCCGCCCCCATTTGGGGCCCTAGGAGGTGTTTCATTTTTTATTCTTAGTGATACATGCTCTCTCCCAACGCGCTTTATTGATTGCGCCACGTGAGAGGCGGGGGACCCACGCTTGCTCTCGAGAAACCCAACCCAGCGCTCTGTTTTGGGAGGGAGGCAGGCAGTAATACATGCTTGTTTGAGGAGCGGGCTCTGCATTAAAAAGCAATTCAACCAGAGAAATATAAAGATGGGCCTGTCGTCTTCGGTCATTATCAAAAAAAAATCATCACTACATTCGCATCACAACTCTACATTCAGAACACTCAAACCATATGTTGCATTCACAAATCAACGACAAATTCCAACAATCATCTACAATGGACAATAATTGGGCTATCCGGTCATCTAAGATGAACGGGGATCGTCATAGTTCGCCTTTCACATTATCATCTTCTCGGTCGTCTTCATATGAAAGCGTTGGGGAGGATATTGACGCACTTGAGATTGTTACCCCAAGAACTTACTCACACTCACCTTCTCCCATTCCCCAGCAACCCACCGATGCCGAGCTTAACCCATGGCTCTTCCAACTTTTCCCAGAGACTTACGCAGATGGAACCGCCTACTCTTCACACCCAGCAGAAATTCAATATATTGCAGGTAGCGATGCAAGCTCGCTATACTCAGGATCGAATTCCACCTCAATTATCGGGCAGCCAATGTTGAGCAGCCTGGGATCTGATGAGAACATTTTCTCATCTGCTGGTAACTAGCCCGCCTTTGACTTGGCTTGTAGTGCAAATAAAAGCTAATAACGAAGAATTTGAAGGTATCAACCGATCAGAAGAAGCTTTTTTCCAGAGCTATGACGATACTCAAGATTATGAGAGGCCAATGAGAGTACGATTCTCACCTTTCTCTGAATATGACTCAAGCTCTTCGGAGTATGATCGTGGCAGCACTCCCGCTCTTTCAGACTACTCACCCCAATTCACATCTCGATCACGTGCAAACTCGACAAGATCCAGCCCAACTCCTGGCTTCTCGCCAGAGCTTGGACCTGGTTCTGCAAGTGCACCGACAAGCAACCCGTCTTACTCCCATCTTGTGGCGACATTCGCTGCCCCAAAGAGGAGAAAGAGCAGGAGAAAGCTCGGCCCTGATGAAAGGCGTGAGGTTCACCAATTGAGGAAGATGGGTGCCTGCACTCGTTGCTGGGGCTTGAAGATGAAGTGTGGAGAGGGAAACCCATGCCCTAGATGCGAAAAACTTGGGGCTGGCGCTCTTTGTGTGCGAGTACACTTTGTCGACTTGGACGTCTTCTCAAAATGTAAGCAGCACTTGGCTATATAATCACATTTACTTGTCTAACAACTCTGTTTTTAGGGCTTGTTGATGCATACTCCCGAACTATGATGCACCATGTCCTTCGCTGGGCCAACTCACCCGCACGGACGGTTACAGTATCTCACGAGAAATCTCTTGGAGTAACACTCAGCCTTAACGTTTACGAGTTCATTCCTGCTTATCCTGGACAGCTCGTCTATTGGTATAAAGACGATGTTACCGGTTGGCAGTCTGTGGAAACTACTTCATACGCAATGAAGAGGGGAATCAACACCGACATCTTGGAGAAGTACATTGACGACCACACATGGTACTACGTTGAGAACTCATTCCAGGGCAATCCAATCCTAGCTGAGATCTTCCAGTCGGCTTTGAAGTACTCTAAGAGTGAGGAGAACTTCCTCCTTAGAGATGCTTTACAACTATGGACTGCAACTCAGTTGCTTATTCAGGGAGCTACTTTGCACCCATCATCCGACTCGCTTGGTATCTCACCAATTTCCTCACTCACTACACCATTGGCAGGCCAGACACCTATGCCAAGGGTACTTGCAAACCAGCTTGACCACCTTATCGAGCGCCGAATTTGGCAATTGGAGAAGCAAATTCTCTGTGAGCTCCAGAAGCGGATTTTTGGAAGGAAGAGAGAGGACTGGCTCAGGATCTTCTTGACTCTGGTGGTGCTGATGAATGCCCTTGAACGCGATTCATGGAGGCTCTACTACTGGGTTTTCCACATGGATGACGGCTATGCCTGGCGTCACCCTTCTTCTCCTCAGAGATTGATCGAGAAGAACAACATACTGGCTGAATCCTTGGCTGCTCACTTTTCCGCCATCAGCAAGGGTCTGACTCCCTTTTCTTTGGACTGGAGCCGGGAACAGACAGTTGCATTGATCGGGAACTGCGAGGACCGCCAATCAATGCTGGAGTCAATGGAAAGAATCGGACGAGGCCTGAGAAGCCCAGATCATGCTTTGCGCGTCGAGAATGTGCTCGCTCTCTACCGGGAGAGCAATGAAAGTAGTCTTGATTTCCTCTATACTTCAAAGGTCATGGTTATTTGAAATTCGCAAATAGCGGCTTTCATACATATTTAACGAACGAAACGAGAACATATTGGGAAGGTGGGGACAGTGGGATGATAGAAAACTCATACGGGCGAGCACACCGGCTCGGTATTAGATTTTTCCTTTGTACTACAGTTACTAGTTGCTTTTTATTGTTTATTTCTTTTATTTCTCTTATTTCTTTTATCATACGGGGTTGCATATAAAGGATCCAGGCAGGACTCATTTGGGGTGTTTTGGTTTTTATTGATTTCTTTTGTTTATAACGGCAGGCTTAAAACTCTTAGAATCCGGTACAGGGCTTGGTTTCATTCGTTCGTTGTATTAAGCATTTAAGGCGTGTGGAATTCATTACTATTTCTCAATGATACTGTTTATTTGAAGACGTGAATATCCTCTAATCAGGGGGAAAGTATCTACTCTAGAGGAGGCAGAAAGTGGTATCTAGTGGTTGAACTTAGTTATGTCACATATGCACCTCTCACCGGAGGGCGGTTAAGGTTGGTGTGACAATTGAGCCGGCCCTTCCACTGAGGCTTAGAGGATCGGCTGCAGCATCGCAAATTCATGCAAACTGAATCAAGTTTATGCAGAAAACAAATCCACTTAGTGTATAATGGGAATATAAATGGGAGGATTCCCCGCATCTCGTTGTCCCAGAAAACGATCGATACACACAATACTTTATCCTGAGCAGAGTTCATAATACTTGGATCCAGATGACTCAGCACTTCAGGGGTTGAATATCTGCACTTGGCGCAGGTTGATCTAGGATTGGCAAAAACTGGCGACATTTGCATACATCCCGTGCAGGCCATGTTTATTACTTTATATTGTACAGCGGTGGGTAATAAGTGATCAGACAGAACGCCACCAAAATACGCGTTTGCAGGCAAAATTGTGGCTAGGCTGTCCGATGACTTAATACCCACCGCTGTACTCCAGAAGCGGTGGGGTTTTCCCTAGATGTAATGATAATGTTTTACATAAGCAGCACTGCACACAGGCCCATGGAACTGAAGATAGTATATCTATTACCACGTTTACTTTATAGTGTTTTTGTCCTTAATTAACCCAGCACGTAATCCACGTTTGATTTTGTATTTGATGGTTTTATCCATAGAATGCACGTGCTCATACGTTTCAAAAAAAAAAAAAATCGTGGTCTCAGTATTACCACTGGTGCCTTACGGTTTACCTCGTTATCGATATTGACTTCCTTGAAAATAGTACGTACATGTATTATTAGTATTGCTAATTGAAGCATAGATTAGATATTGATAATTCTGACGTTTCTGGGCTGGGGCTGTGCTTATCAAGTAGGTACCTACATGTAACATAACCATAAAGAGGGTACTTCACTATGATCATCAGAAAGCCGTAATACGTATAAACTTGTTAAGTCATGCATGGGTTATAGTTGCTTAGTCAAAAGTAACTGCTGCTGTTGTTACACAGGGATATCGAAGTCGAAGGCAACAACTCGACTATATGATCATATACGCTTAGCCTCAGATAAGACCTCACTAGATCGATATTCTATATATACACATGCCCTTCTTGAGAAGCAAGACCATGCTACCTTGTGTACATGTATGCAAGATGTCGTGTAAACACAAGTAAAGTGATCAGTACTTCCAGCCAACGAATAGTACTAACAGTTTTGAGTAATCTGTGTCCTAGTACAGCTGTCCCTATGGCATCATCTGTCTGCAATTTCTGTATATGAGGTTCGGCTTTATTTTGACATGTACTCATGTATGTATTGAAGTGAATTAGTACGTACATTAAGTGCGCACAACATATCACCATACACCGAACGAATAACGGCGCAACTGCATCAAGCTATCGATCACGAGGTTATATGAGATCGATCTTGTTTGCACCCAAAGTGTCTCATCGGGGTTGTCAAATGAACCCCCAAGAAAATATACTAGGATGAGTGTACATACACCGCAGGCTAGTCTCTAATTCACATATACGTGTGTCTGTTGGCGGAATTAGTGTTCCCTATCAGAAGGTCACGGTCTCGGGCACTACACCGTAATGTCATAATTCAACGGTGTCAGAACTTTAATTCCCAAGGTGCCGGGCCCAGATGAAGCCTGCAGAAACACGTTTCGCTGGTCCTGCAAACCCCACTATGGCTCTAAAAAATTGATTTAATTATCTGAAATACCCAGTAACACAACGTAAGGCTGAACAGGCATAGCTAGATCTATTGAACAGCAAAGTTGAATCAATTGCAATCCTACGCTTTTTCTACTTCATGTTTATAATATTTAGTATTCAAAACGCATTTAGCTAGGCCCTCCCATAAGGTACATGTACATGTAGTCATTGGAATTTTGGGATCAACAGGCTGTGCTCAGCTGGCCATGGCCAGTATATGTTTCCTTTTGAATTATTACATGTGTCTACTTCGAATCTACGTTCTTCAGGTGCACATGCTACAAAAGGATCTATTGGACTATCTTGATCACATACATGTACCGCGCGGTAAACACAGTAACGGGCGCTATGGCTCTCGCCAATAGGCGTGACTTTTAATCGAAACTACATGCATGCTATGCCCGAAGTGATAAATATAGCGACAACGGCACAGGCTTGTCGGAGCACATGCTTGTGCAAGGTCTCTGGGTTCACCCGGACCGACTATCTACACAAGAAAACCAGTAAACGGCGAAAACATGATTTACAATGCATGTATCTATTAGTACATGTAGCATTGGATAAGGAACTGAGTACGTACATGCGGCTTGCTGAAACCTGTGATATTTCTATCAGAAATTACGTCAATTACTTAATAGGGCCTCAAAGGATTTAAAGGTCGTGAAAAAAGCACATAGTTCACTGCTCATTGGTGTGGTGTTTCATACCGAATCTGGATAGAAGGTTTGAAGGTGTTATAGTAAAGATCATGACACCTAATGACAACTTGACAAGTATCATATTGGCAAAACGCCTTGAAAGACTTCGGATGAAGAACTACAAATGGTCATATGGAATATTGCTAGGCCTTATACTAGGGCTACGCTACTCTTATACAAGTACCTTGTGTGAAATGGTTCGCTTGTTCACCCGGAACAAATCGGATACGCACAACCCAGCACTAAAACACTTGAGAGTTATCTCGACGGAGATGTTAAGTTACTCAACTGTTGAGGTAAACCACTGCTGCACATTTGTTTTTTCCATGGTCAAACGCACATGTATATCCTGAAACAAATGTAATAACCATTAGAACATGATGAACCAGGTTGAAATGGCGAACAAAATAAGGCACAGCATACGTACATGTATATACGTAGTAGCTGACCTAGCCCAGCATCTATAGGTATGGTTCAGGCCACGCGTGTGCACATCCTCCACGACTTAGCTAGAATGAACAACGTCGGTGATACCCTGTAATATTATTGCAATAGTAGTGTGAAAATTTCGAAATCGAGGAGGGGAATATATGAACATGGATGATGACTGGAATGACTTGTAATGTAGCTCTTTTTGATCATGATTGATCGTCGTAAGCAAACACTTGACGTATAGCCCTCTAGAGGGTGCCTTGTCTCATGCACTGATTCAATAAATGCCTCAGGAGATCACATGAGGTTATTATAGTCAGCGAGAATTACTGGAAAACTTCCCCGCAGGGGTTATTGATAGCCAGATATGCATAAGTGCAAAAGTTGGTTTTTCTTCTTCCTAATACCTTGATTAAAAATCATTAATATTGTTAATCACAAACTTCCCTATAGTATCCAGCATGTAGGTCACTTCCTACACATCCAATAAAACCCACAGTATCTAAGGATATATGCGTTATGTTTTCATATCTTGGTCCGGGTGGCAATACTACTATATGCTAACATGGTTATTAACCAACAAAGCCTATAAGGCTCTCTAGGTTAGAATGGCGATTTAACTAGTGCCGCATCTCATGTCACAAGCTCTTAATTCATTAGGTTTTGGGTCATAGGCAAAATAAACGCAGTTAGTTCGAGCGAGTGACCGCTTGTGATTCGGCTCGGACAGAACTTTTATATCCTATATCGCCGACTTTCTGTCTGAGTTTACCAAATTTTCCGGGATAAACAATATATAAACTGTTTACTTGTGAATTTCCTTTGTATGTATCTAACCGTATCACAATATCCTCTCGATCAATAACCTGGTGCTTATTTTCAAAGTGTGTATATCAGCTTCTGACCAGCGCTCCACATACAGGAGATTTTTTTGTATTTATCCTTCAATAAAATCACCTATTTCCACTTCGATACTATGAATGTAAAATTAGGAGAGGTAACGCATGGTTTATACCCGTACGACCAGCTATGTAGCTATATCTATACTACGTTTAATTGTAGACTCTCGCCTCAACTTTAGATAACCTGGGGCAGTGCAATCACATTACTCAGTCACCTTGCATGTCGGGCGAGTTCCCTACGTGCCGAATATTGAGGTCTTACACAATGCAGAAACTGGCCACCAATTCTGCAGCCAATGGATAATTATAATAATATTTGCATGTATGTAAACTGGATAAGGAGCTCGTTCGATAGGGAAACGGGGTTAGTGCTTGAAGATTAGGTCGGACAGGACTGTAATTCTGCATATAGCCTGCGTAATATTTCAAAAATACGTTCTGCTCCGAGTAAATCCGGCCTTCTCTATCATCTACTCGAGAAGAAAGTATTGTTAGAAGGACATTGTTTGGCTGTGGCGTGAGTGTGGTGAGAATGTGGCTTAGCAATTCTTGGCATTTTATTGCATATTGACCCGGACGAGCCGAGCCGTATCTATCCCGTGTGGATAGAATCACACAATTGTACAAGCGAGGATAGTTAGATATTCTTCTTTGTGTTTACTTTGATCATGATCCGAGGTTGTCTCATGGGGCTCCAAAGGGGGCGCAGGCAAGTGGACTGCATTACATGTAGCTATATGTATATACTAAAAATAGACGTTGTTGATCGATCATGAGCTGCATGTTTTTCCTC